CCCTCCCGCTGCCCTGGCCTTCCGTCCATACATTACTATGTTCTTTTAAACGTTAAATCTAAAAATGTTGGCACACTAACGACTAACACTCGGCCACTACGGCCACTACGTACTTCAACGTCTACGACGTAGAGCAGGCGTACCTGGGTGTGAGATGGTTCCAACTACTGTAACCTCTCACTGGAACGAGCCGAAGTCCCGTTCTCTGATGGAATCTTTTACAGCACCATTAAAAAATCTGAAGGGACGGGTCCCAGGCCCTTACCAACACCTCCGGCCAGGCGACGTAGCCCCGCTCCCTGCTGAAGATATTTGACGGTGGAGCAAAGCGAAAATTTGATATTGATCTATCGCCTATTTAAATTTAATTCAAAATCTGTTTTACACAATATTTTACAAAAACTGAAAGACAGGCGGCGGCGCTATAATCTGATGACAGATATCACGTGGTTTTCAATATAAACGGTGAAGCGGTGCGTTCCCTTTGGCTCCAACTGCATACTCATCACCATACCATTTACCTACCTATGTGAATCTCAACAGGCATATCTACGAAGTGTCGTCTCAGTTGTCAACGATTTCAAGGTCAATGTGATGGGATACATCGTCTGGAGCTTAATTGACACCTTCGAATGGAGCAATGGATACGAGTAAGTCAGGCGTAACTAGGTAGATGTAGATGCCAGACTGTCATGTTTTACATGACAGACTTCAATCTAAGAAACTGTAAAGCTGAAACATGTATGCTCTGCAGCTTTCTGGGCCCGAAAATCAGTATCTTTTGGTATAGTCAGCCTCTGCGGCTTCCGGAGCTTCCACTAAAAATAAAAACAAATTATAGCACAAGTATATGTAGTACAAGGTTAATGTTGAGTTGTGCTTACTGTAAGTTCTTGTGCCAAGAATATGTAATTTTGGTTGTGACAAAGTTGAAAGCACCCCCACGCCAGCAACCTTTCCCTTGACAAAAATCAGCCGGCTGCAGTTTGCCAGGATGCGGGGACTTGTTATGTTGAGGTCTTCCAGCAGTTGCTAATCTGTTATCCGTTGCATTTTTTCAGCGCTAAGTACGGTATAGCTGCCGTAGATTATGAGAGTGGCAGCTTGAATCGCAGTCTCAAGTCCCCACCCGACTTCTGGCTTCAGATAGCAGAGAAACGGGTCATTCCGTTTGTAGAAGTTCCACAGTCTTCATCCTCGCCTTCATTATATCGGCTTGTGACCACAAAAGCACTTTGGCTGGCCATCCTTCTATATGTTAAGCAGGTTGTGTAAATTTTATGACCCTACACTTAAATATAAACTACATTCTTTTGTAAACTGTCACGCTCATCTGCCTAGGCCTGATTCAAAATTTCACTACTTTTGCAAATGTCAACAAGCAGGCCCGCCCTTCCGCCAAACGAAGTTGTCAGCTTCACTTCTCTCCGCAGGCAACTCCGTTCGGCAGAGGCCGTGCCTGCTTCGCCTGCTGGCGGTGTTTCACTATATGTAATTCGAACAATCTTAGCCTTTCGTGGGGCCTGCGCGGCCCTTAAGATTAGCTCCTTGTCCACGAGAAAAGACTGTAGCTGTGCGACACCGTGACTAGACCCCACCCTTCTGCTTTGGAAATGAATAAAAAATAACAAGTGCAGTTTTCATCTTCTATTGTTTTTCAAGCAGTCTTCAGACTGGACTTTTCGCTATTGTTTTAAGTATGTGGACCTCTATCTCACACGGGGTCATTTGGATAAGCCCTCTGGATAGCTTTTTCAAATAAGAAGTGCCGGCTAAAAACTTTGATATTGTTATGGAGCTATCCTTTCTAAGGACTTACGCTTAACAAGGAGCCAAAATGCAGGGCGATGAATAAAATCAGGATAGTTAGGGAATACAGCCAATTGTGTGCACTAAGTAAAGCAAGATGATGTACCCCAGACAAAGTAAAAACCGGGCAACTATCAGCAGGCCTGCTAACGGCTCATCTGATAGGTTTAAAAAAAAGAGAAAAGTGAGTTGCAGCTACTAAACAGTGAGTAAATATTGAGTTTTTTGCCTCGAACAGGGAGGAAAAGTAACCTTGGAATCTGTCAAATGGGCAAAAAAGATTAAATATCTGCACTTCAGAACTTACAAAGGGTCATTTTATATATTTGGGACAGACTACAGAAGTAAAAGCAAACATGACAGATGAAATTACTCAATTACTGTATATATTTTTATGCAAACAGTAAAACACAAGAAAATTAAAGATGTTAAGAACAAATAATAAACATACATTTATGTTTCTGCCAACATCTCTGAAATTGAAGCAAGTACTAGGTACTAGGCAGATGTACGTCAGGACACGTCTCGCGAAACTAACAGGCTTCGCGATATCTCACGAAACATTGTTACACAGCGACGCGCCTCGCAAACATCTACCTAGGCCTGCAGCCTGCGGCGCTGACACGCAAGTCGGGCAAAAGGCAGAGTCGTATATACGTCATTGGCCCAAAAAGTCACAAATTTGCTCACTAGGGTTTTATTGTGACTGTGACGAGTTACCGCACCGGACACAATGAAATATCGGAGAAAAAAAATTGTGATAGGTGAGGAGAAAGAACAGCACACACGGGAATCAGAGAGTAGAATGGCACTTTATCATCAGTCTCAGGACCCCGAAAGGGGTATACGGACATGAGCCCGCCCGGATTTGAGCCCGAACCACTCTAGACCCGACCAATGCCCGATATGAGCCCAGTTCCGAGTCTGACTCGTCAGATTTGGTCCTGGCTACGTCTAGCTTGGCTCATATCGGACACTGCTTGGGTCCACAGTGGTTCGGGCTCAACTCCAGGCGGGCTCAAGTCCGTATAGCCACCGAAAGTTAAATATTTGTTTCCTACCCTCTGATCAATGATATCAAGAAAATTAGCAGATTATCGTAGCTCTCATAACAAAAATAGATCGTCTTCAATTGTCACCGGTTTGCGGCTTCCTCTATGATGCCTTATCATTCTTTAATTTTTGCAGAAAGGTGATATTCAAATTTTGTAAAAAGTATTATTTCTCAATGTCAACGACTATAAAAAATATTTTTAAAAAACTTAAATATTACCTTCCTACAAAAACAATAGAATGTTAAGGAACCTAAGAGGAAGTTTGGTGACAAAGGGATACTCTCTATTTTCGTTATGAGAGTTACGATATCCTACAAGTTTTGATATGTTTGATCCAAGAGTAGGAAACAAAAATTTAGCTTTTTGGTAGGTTTTGAATCCGTTTTCAATCCTCTTTCCAATGGTGTAGTCAGTTTTTACCCTACTGCACAGATTCAAAGATTAGATTAGAGCATCCTACAGGGCCAGGCACCACTTCCTAATTCCATATTTTTGCCGTCGGCACGGTACCCTGGACACTAACGGCTGAAAATGGAGAAGGTGATGCTCGACCCAGGGTTACGACTTCCTCCAAACAGACCGAAGACCAACCCCCCCGTTGAATGGGATGGGTCGGCACCGTTAGTAGGCAGGGGCTGACAGAGTGTAGGGGGCGGGCCCGGCGGCCCCCGGCGGGGCACAGGTGTACCACCCAAAGCAGTGCAACCCCCCCCCCCCCCTCTCCCACCCCAGAGCAAAGCAAGCAAAGCCAAGCAGTAAGCGCGTGCACTCATAAAGGATACGTGGCAGCTAGAAAGGATACGGGGCGGCGTAAAGGATACAGGCAAGATGAGGCCGCAGCTTTATTCAAGTTCCAATTGCGGCAAGTCAACAAAATCCAAGTCGAGATCCTCGTCAGAGTCGGCAGGGTCCTTCTCGGACGACACGTCACCCTCGAGCGCCTCCCGGACATGCGCGGCCAGGCCGTTCTGGTCTGTGGCGAGCGCGTCCCAACCTCCCTCTGGCGGACCCAGCCGGGCCAGGTCTTGTTCGAGGGACTTGTTGAAATCATGGCACGGGCGGCCGGGCTTGAGCCCCAGCCGGAAGCGCAGGGCGCGCCGGAGCGGGTGGGCTGGGCCCCGCCGCATGATGTGGCCCCAATACCGCACGCGGCATCCTTGGATGGCCTACCCGTATGGAACACTGCGGCTGAAAGACAGAGTTTTCTGGTCTCATCAGCGAGCCAGGGAAAAGAAGGCCAGGCGCCGGTTTGCAGCCTGTGGGGAGACAGACGGGTTGACGACGGTTGGTCCGGCTCACGACGGTCTTCCCACTTCCCACCAGCTGATTTTCGCGCTCACGGCCGTCTTTTTTCCGTCTGGAACAAGCAGGCCCGCCCTTCCGCCAAACGAAGTTGCCAGCTTCGCTTCGCTGCGCCGGCAACTCCGTTCGGCAGGGGCCGGGCCTGCTTG